TAGAGAGACGCGGTCCCGCAAGCGCGACAGGCCACATATGCCTTTACCACTGACTCGAAAACAACTCTGCTCCAGATAGTCGGTCGGCTACCCCGTGCGTAGGCAGCGCGTACACTCTGGACTTAAACGCAAGGCCACAAGTGATTTGAATGAGCAGAGAGCGCAGGAACAGGACGGGGATGCCTCGCAATAAGGATGCGGAGTGCTACAGAATAATTACAATTTCAACTAATTGTGGTTGTTGGTTAGATCAGACACATTGTTTTACCATGTCACGGGCGAGCAAATCGCATTAAGATGAACGAAATATCCTGTCTCCGTCAATGTGTATCTTATTGCTACTGAATGACGTTTGGCCAAAATGTTTTGAAATGTTTCGACGGAACGGCGGGTTTCTCGTCCCCGCTCCAGCATGCTCCAGCCCAGCTGGGGGGAGGGGAAAGGAGATCTCTGAACTGTCGTGGAGGTAATGCGAAGGGATCGCTTAGAAAGTACGTCCGTTTTTTCCAGATTCATTTGGTCGATTACGGGACCTAGGCGCCTGCGAGACTCGGGGTAGGCCACCCCACATTGCACACATGCACTGCAGGCAAGATGTTGTCTACCCACCAGGCGCTTTGAGAGCTTGTAGAAAGTACTACGTACTTTCTGGACGATTCCTGCGTAAGCTCCCCGAGCCTTGATGACCCCCTGTGCTTGTAAAAGGGGTGGGGCATGCTCCATCCCGTATGAGAAACCAGTGCATTCGACACCCGTGGTGGTATGATTTTCAGCCCTGGGAGGCTGCTTGTGCCCTTCCTATCTCGTGAGCAGGCCGCGGTACGAACGGGTCTGCCCGTGGACACGTTGCGTGGTATGTCGTGGTGCAGCCTGCATCCCCGGCACAGCTCCACGCCAGGGCATCCAACTTTCCGCTAAACTGCCTTCCCTCTCGCCCTCGCCGCGTCCGTCCGGTCGGCGCGCTCTCGCTCTGCAGCCTCTGTGCGGGCCGCGAGCAGGAAGCCTTTTCCGCCATCGTGTCCTCTACACACGTCGCGCAACGCGGGGCTGAGGGAGGACGACCACTCGCCACGCAATGTCCTCGGTGCAGCAGGTGCAGCGACTGCGCAGCGCCCCCGTAGCCGCCGCCCTCCCTGTCCCCCTGGTCGCGGCCACGAACCTGTTCAGGCGGAACGTTACAGGATATTGCGGGCCGCCCTGGAGCCCGGGGGCAAGGGGGCGGGGCAGGGTCCCCGCCACTGGAAGCGGTGAGGCCACCATAGCGTCGTTGGACTTGGCTGTCACACCCAGCGTTCGAGCGCCCTGGTCAGTCTGACCGCAGGGCCCCGCCACGACCAGAACAGAAATTGTCGCCGACCGGCAGCAGTTCCCTCGCCGTTGCATAACACTCTACCTCCCTAGCATCGTCCCCCACAGACCAAAGTGACTCGCTCGCTCTCTCTATCCGTTCCCTGGAGTCGGAAAAACTTTTCTTCATTTAAGACAAAATAAGGAGTGATGCTTTACCAGTAAAACTGCCGATAAAAGTAATTTTCCACGTGTTTCCGAAAGTTCCGACAAGTACATAATTACGGTTTCAATTACTTTTAGCTTACGCTGAGGAAATCCGCTTTGCTTTAAATACGTTACCACTTGTTTTGCATGTATGCGCATGTATGGCTCTACTGTTTCATCTACGACCAGAAAAATTAGGAAGATTATAGTAGGATCCCCGACCTAAGTTTTTTCTATGGAGCATCCGGCTTTGCAAAGAAAGAATTCTGAAGGATGGCATTCTGTAGCCTACAGCATGTGTACATGTACAGAGAAGGTGCCGGTATCGGTGAGTTTGTTTACTCTCTCAGATTCATTCGACAAATTCACGGGAGCTCAGCCCGCCCGTGGCACTCGGGGTAGGCCACCCCGAAGTACTCGCACGCACTGCATGCAAGATGTTGCCAACCTATCAGGCGCTCTGAGAGCTTGCATGAGCTGAGCCTGGCAGTTCCGTAACGCAGGCGCGGGTTTAAAAGGAAGGCGGGAGGGAAGTGTCGCTTCCCGGTCGCCTCCAAGGTATATAGGCAATCCACCACTACAACAACAACAACCCTGATTGTAGGCAACTCACGGTGCATCGCGTGCTTGTGAGTTTGGTTGTATCTGACCAAGACTCCTGACTCGCCGAGCGAGTAGACAACCAAACCTGCACGGGTGCATTCGGTACGGTGTTCCTAACTCCGAAAGGGGCAGGGGCTGCAGGCAGCTGGGAAATATTTTTCCTGTGCTGGTGTAGGTATGATGTGCCGGTGTTTGGGATGGTCCGTCCCACTTTGGTTGCATCGTCCAGTCGGTGCCCTCGTGGTTTCATTGTCAGGACCGTTGAGATGGCAGATAGCGCAGCCGGGGTGGTCAGGCAGGGGCAGGCGAAGGGGGCGGGGGCGGGGACGGGGACAGGCCTGTCTGCCGGGGCAGAAGCGTCGCCGGACGGATGTGGGAGTTGCAGCACAGCATTCGATTGTCTCTGGCCGCATGGCGGCGCCGTATCTGCCGCTTGTCTGCTGAAGGGCTGGCCGGGGAGGGTCCGCGGAGGGGAAGTGCGGTTCGTTTCCAGGGCCGAAAGTGTGAGTAACTTTCGCCAAGGCGTTTGCGGGGAGGGACGGGGGCGTGGTGGGGCGACCCCTGCCTCCCCTCCCCGCGCTGCGGGTAGGGGGCGTGGTGCTTCCCGGTCAAGGTCAGATCAGGTCCAATCCCTCTAGATTCTCTTTCATCCCCTCTCCCATCGAAGAGCGCAGAAGGTGCCACCGACGCAGTTGCACGGTAGACGGTAGCACAAAATACCGACTAAACTTCTAGGCGGTGGGGCACGGAGCCACTGTGTGGTGTGCTGCTGCAGACACACGCGTCTCCAGGCCGAGCCGCTCGCGGCCGCAGACAGCGCCGGCCCGGTCCCGACCAGCGCCATTCAAATGCGTTCCAGGCTAGTGGCCATACCCTCCCCTCGGCCCGCCGACCAGAGCGAGAGAGAGGAGGAGGAGGAGGAGGAGGAGCGGCAGGGGCTGGCGAGGAAGACAAAGGCAGTAGTCCGCTGACGTGATGTCAGCAGGTGCGAGATGTGTGTTTCGGGGTCAACTTCTCCGCCCGGCCCTGCCGTGACGGCACTAGATACGTTGGGGTCGTGCTATCGAAAAAGAAATGTGAGAACACCAGAGCGTGCGCTTAGGAAGGAAGTCCTATAGTTGCATTGGGGAGAGACACCGCGCCGTGAGTTAGAGGGCGTGAGGAGAGGCGAGAGGCTGGGCGGGATGGGGAGGGGTGTGGTCGGTGGGCGGCGAAACGCGTGGAGCACGGCATCTGGGTTAGCGAACGGGATCAACCCCGTGGACGCTGCGCCCAGCGAGGGCAGGCCAGAGCGACGTCGACGCGCCGGCAGCAACCGGGGGGCGGCAGCAGGGAATGACCGGGGCCACTGCAAGCGGGCCAAACGGGGAACAAACAATGCTTTAGAGACGTACCTGCCACGAGCTGGTCCAGCTGTCCTCGGGAGACGAGCAGGCAGAGTCGCGGCGAGGTCCGGCCGGCGGCCGACTGTCATGAGACCCAACACATAATCAAAGACGCTGCGACTTCATCCCACACCACACCAACTAACAGTCTTTTTCTCGGCTGGAGCCAGCAGCAGTGCAGGGCGAGCAGGAGCCTGCTGTCCGCTCCAGTGAGCGAGTACATACCCTGCGAACAAAACCACCATGAGAGGGGAAACAATCCGAAAGTCAAACGGCAAAACAGGAAAATGGGGCTGATTACCGGCAAGCCAATGCGTCTTCAACATCTTCAATTTTGTTTCCTCTCTTCCAAAGACGATGAGCTTGACAACAACCACGCTCGCGCCGCTCGCGCCGTCGCGACTCTCGCTTTAGTCCCGTTCCGCTTTACGCCGCGACTGTCGTACCGGTCGTGTGTTGTGAATGTGTTGTGAATGTGTGAAGGACTCTGGGTGGGAGTGGGAACCTAACCCCTGAACCCTAGCCCACAGCAGCCAAAGGCCCTATCTGACTCTAACCTCTGATGACGCTGGTTACCGTGAGTTGCCGCAGGCTAAACTGCAGACGGCACAGCGGGTCCCGCGGCGGTAGAGTGACTCGCCCACACCTCATCGCAGCCGGCTCCAGACGTCCACGGAGACCCGGCTTCCACTGTTAAAAAATACAAAAGTAAATCACATAATCACAACAGAATGGCTTGGGAGTGTTTCTAACAGTGGGATCCAATACGCTGGACTGTACCTTAATTATGCAGAGGAAAGTGCGGCCAAGTCTTGGTCCCTCAAATACCAGTCGAACACAAGCAGGATGATCTGTTGTTTCTCGACGCAGAACGCTTGACCGTGCCGGCTGGAAGGGCTCGTGTACTCCAGCCGGGGACCGCATGGCAGCACGCGCGCTGAGAACGGCGACGCACAACACTGGAAAACTACACCAGTAAATCACTACGGAATGGTCTGGTAACTTAGTGTGATCATGAAGGCTGGGATTGTACATACCTTGTACACTGGAGAGTTCTTTTCGAGCACGGTCTAGTCGCGGAGGATCGCGGAGGTGAATCGGGTAGCTGAGTGGCTCACTGACCACGGCTATGGGACGAGCTGGGCTGCGCTTGTACAGTCGGCGCAGCATTACTTCAGTCTTCGGGTTTTGGTCACGTGACAGCCGAATAGCTTCGTAGCCAATCGGAAGCGATTCGGGTATCACGTGACCAAAACCCGAAGACAGAAGTAAGAGGTTGTCCAGTTAAGATGGATCCGTGCGGATCCGTGCGGATCCGTGAGTGATCCAGGGGTATATCCAGTAACCGACAAGTTGAAAGTGGAAAGTGCTCAGGCTTGCCATGTTGAGTTATAAACTTATATTTTTGGTGTGATATATCAGTCGGTAATTAATCTCCTGCTGGATAATCAATCAATTGTTTCAGTTCTTACAGAAATATATAATCTAGCTAAACCTTCATTTAGGTCAAAAAGGAGTTGTAAAAAGAAATGTTATGTTTGAACGCCTGCCTGTTTGCCAGGGCTGCCAGGACATTCACAGTTTTTTACAACATATTTTTGACTTAAATGGAGGTTTCGATGATATATTTTTGAATGAACTGGAACTATTTGGTTGATAGTCTGGCAAGAGATTAATTACTGCGTCATATATCGCACCAAAAATATAAGTTTATTAGTCAATATGGCAAGCCTGAGCACTTTCCACTTGTCGGTCACTGGATATACCCCAGGCCCTACTGCAGACTGATTCCGAAGAGACCTCAAGGGGCGCGGCTCTATGAGTGCGAAAAGAACGGAGCTATACGGAAGGTATAGGAGAGGGTTCTTCGGAATCAGTCGGCTGGGGTAACCGCTACGTACCCCTGCGAGGGACGCGGCCCACCCTGCGGCCTCGTGCTAGCCCCGCGCGTCACCCCGAGTCCTTCGCGGGGCTACATCACGCAACCCCAAGTACCCCTTCATGTTTACCTCTGAAGCCTGTTCCTCTTGGAGGCACATTCTTCCCAAATCTTAGCATATCGATGAGGTCGGAGAAAATTAGGTCGGACGAAACCGAGGTCGGAAAGCACTTCTTTAGGGGATTTTAGAAAAATCACCAGGTCGGAGAAAAATAGGTCGAACAATCTAAATACACCTGGCGAACCGCGTGGAGCACGGCATCTGGGTTAGCGAACGGGATCAACCCCGTGGACGCTGCGTCCAGCCCAGGCGGGCGGCGCCCCTGACCGCCTTCACTTCACTTGCACTCCGCGGCTACCACTTTGGTCACACGTCATAAATCCCACGATAGAGCAACGCGCCGATGGGATGCGCTAATGAGTCTCGCGAATGTTCTCCCTTGCTGCTTTAGGCACGGCTTGTAATGCTCGCCGCTGTTCGCCCGCAGAGACGCTGGCTTGGCGGGCCCAGATCCGTGATGATGTCCGCCCCCACCTCCGCCCCCGCGAGCGGGCCCGGCCGGGGGCGGCGCTGGGGCTGGCTGCCGTGGAGAGACGCCCTCCTGGGGGCGGCGCTGCTGCTCCTGCTGGTCGGGGGCGGGCCCGGGGGCGGGCCCCTCGGGGCGGCGGGGCAGAGCGCGCAGGCCGCGGTCACATGCCCCACCGAGGAGGAGATCTCGCCGTGCCGCTGCAGCCTGCGAGGCGACGAGATACAGATATGGTAAGTCGGCCGCCAGCCTCTCCCCTCCTCACAGAGCAGCAGGACGCTGACTGTTGCTGACTGTCCCCGTGTTGCACCTGCAGGTGCAGCCACAGCGAGCTGCCCGCGGTGCTGGCGGCGCTGCGCAACGTGGCGCGGCTGCTGCCCACGCGCGCGCTGGACGAGCTCATCCTCGAGAACAACGCGTGGACTTCTCTGGGCGGGTCCGCGCTGGCGGGGCCCACGGGGCTACGCGTGTCAAGACTGATGCTGCGTGACAACGGCCTGGAGACGGTACGTAGTGTGGAGATCATGCTCACTGGAAGCAATCTCGCGCCATTGTATGTCAAACAAAAACTTTGCTGAGCTCTGCAGGTGGCGGCGACGTGGCTGGCGGGCCTGGAGGACTCGCTGCTCGAACTGTTCCTGGTCGAGCCGCTGCTCAGGGCCTTCCCGGACGACTCTCTCATCCCGTTCAAGCGACTCGAAGCCGTGACGCTGCAGTGCGGGGAGATGCAGCGTCTGCCGCGCCTGGCCGGCCTGCCCCGCCTCCGCTACGTGCTCGTCCAGTCCGCCATGCTGTGGGAGCTTCCCCCGGGCCACCTCGGCAACCTGCCCTATCTGGAGCAGCTGCACATCGTGAGTGCCCCCGCTCTGTGTTAGCCACCGTAGGCTCGACAGACTGAGCTCCAGCCTCTCTATCCTGGCCCTGGTGTCTCTTTGCTCAGGTGTCGTCGCCGAGGCTCGCCTCCCTGGACGCCGGCGCGGTGAGCGACCTTCCTCGCCTCTCCTCCGTCAACATCTCCGACTCGGGCCTGACGTGGATCCACCCGCGCGCGCTGCAGCGGCTGCCCGCGCTGTCCGAGGTGACGCTCCGCGCCAACAAGCTCTCGGACGCGGCCATGGTGGGGCGCGCGCTCAGCGACCTGCCCTCGCTCGCCGTGGTGCAGCTCAACGACAACCAGCTCGAGATCCTGCCTTCCGCCTCCTTCGCCGACCTGCCCGCGCTCCGGGAGCTGTCCCTGGCCGGCAACCGCATCATTGAA